ACAATGCAGGGCTGAGCTAGGCTGAGCCATGGCCATGTTCACAGCAAAGGGCTGAGCTAGGCTGAGCCATGGCCATGTTCACAGCAAAGGGCTGAACTAGGCTGAGCCCTGGCTGTGTCCACAATGCAGGGCTGAACTAGGCTGAGTCATGGCCATGTTCACAGCAAAGGGCTGTGCTAGGCTGAGTCATGGCCATGTTCACAACAAAGGGCTGAGCTAGGCTGAGTCATGGCCATGTTCACAACAAAGGGCTGAGCTAGGCTGAGCCACGGCTGTGTCCACAATGCAGGGCTGAGCTAGGCTGAGCCATGGCCATGTCTACAACGCATATCTGAGCTAGGCTGAGCCACAGCTGTGTCCACAATGCAGGGCTGAGCTAGGATGAGGCATCAGCAGAGCCAGGAGGGGTGGGGAGTGTGCTCTGGGCAGAGACACTGCAGGGACAAAGACCAAAATGACAACTGCAGAGGCTGCAGTGGAAACACCAGAGGGGCTGAGGCAGGGACAGGGCATGTGCAGCAGAGACAGCAGGCTAGGGGCTAGTTGCACAGGGCACCGAACTCCACGCTCAAGATTTTGCCTCTATCACAATAGAGGACAGAAAGCAGCTGCACTAAATCATTACTGCCCCATCTCCCAAATGCATTAACTGATGCACACAGTCACGTCAGAGGACTGGCAGAGGTTACACAGCAAGTGCCAAGGCAGCATTTTAATCCCAAGCAACTTGTCACCAAAGAGTACCCTCTTCATTACTGTCATAGTGAGTTTAAAAGATAAAGGCAGGGAGCTCAGTTAGAAAGGTGCAGTCATTAAGACATGATTTCATGACAATCTGAAGTAGGGGCGTGATCCTGGGGACCGAGAGGAGAAACAGGAGGCCGTGGGCAGTTACATCCACCGGCAGGACTCAGCCATCCTGTTTCCTCCTGCAGACCATGAGGTCTGGCAGACTGCACCTGAGAGCACCTGGGGAGCGCAGGCAGCATTTGCCTACTGAATAATAAATGAGGAATGCAAAAGAAAAATTGTCTACATTCAGTATCTACCACATTTTGATCCACACTGTAGAATGCTGACATAGTTGTTAAGTATGAAGGGCATCGCAGTTGGGTGCAGAGCAACAGACTAGTTCCAGGCCAGTTTCCTGCGTGGTATTTGCAGAGGGAATCCAGGCACTGTGTTTAGACTGTTGATTAGGATGACAAACTGCAGTATACAGTTCTGAAAGGGACAGGTGACCCTTGAACAACACAGGGAACTGACCCCCAGCACAAAAAAAATCCACATATAACTTCTGAACTTCCCCCAAACTTAATCACCAACTCAGCCTCTTGTTGGCCGGAAGCTTAGCAGCAACGCCAAGCCAAGGAGCAAATATTTTACATGCTACGTGAATAATACACTCTGTTCCCACAGGGAAGAAGATGTGATCAAGAATCACAGGGCAGGGAAAACACGTCTGCTCTTCACCCTCATCATCTCCACACCGAGCAGGTTGAGGGGAAGAGCAGGGCAGCCTCGCCGTCTCAGGGGCAGAAGCAGGAGAGGCAGGTGCACTCGTGTAACCTGATGGAAAGACACAGTCATTTCTGACTTTTTATTTTTTCATTTCCCCCAAGAATGTGTCTAAACAGGCACTGAAGCTAAAGTGAAGGGTGGAAGGATTGGAGCATGTTGTGAAAGAGTCACACGCAGCCTGGACTCAGCAGAGGGCTGCTGTCAGACTGCATGAAGCTGCCTGGTTCCTAGGGAGAGAGGCTGCTTCTCCGACCCTTCTTCTCATCCACCGCTGGTTTGGGAGTGCTCCTTCATCTCCATCAAGTCATCCGTGCATTTCTCTGTGACCCATATCTTAACCTTGCCCCCCCCCCCACTTTTACTGCCATATCCACAGTCTCCTTCGTAATTCCCTTGACTGGTTCTGCTGTAAATGCTGTGAAGTCATGGACAATATCTAGGCCAGCGGTTCTCAACCTGTGAGTTGTGACCCACAGGGACTGAATCAAAGGACAGTGGCATTAGGAAGGTTGAGAACCACTGACCTAGATGGTTTTCTCCAGCAGGAAGTTGCTGTTCGGGACCTGATGATTTTGAAGGCTTCTCTGTAACCATGCTGGCATCTTCAATGGAGTAATCCTTCCAGGCGTTCATGACCTTCTCCTTACTGGGAGGTCTCTTCCACAGTGTTGACAACCTTTTCCATAGAATACAGTGTATCATGAGCCTTAAACGTCCTTACGGTCCCCTGATCTAGAGGCTGAACTGGAGACACTGTGTTTCGGACAAGTAGACCATCTGATGTCTTCCGTATTTAACTCATGGGGTTCTAGGTGGCAAGGGGAATTGTCCAATATCCAAAAACCTTAAAAGGCAGTTGCTATCAGCAAGGTGCTTTCTGACTTCAGAGACAAAGCATGGATGGAGCCATCCAAAAAAGCGTCTGTACTGACTGGCCTTCTTGCTGTACAAGCAAAAGTCCAACAGCTGGTGCTAACCTTTCCTCAAGGCTCCGTGGCTAGCAGCTTTATAGAAAAGGCTCATAAACACGACTGTATTTGCACAGTACACTAGAGACAGCCTGTACCCTTCTACCTTAAATCTCAGTGCTTGCTTCTTTTCCTTATTTATAAATTTCGCTTGTGGGCATTTCCCCACAATAAGGAACTTTTATCTGCATTACAAATTTGTTCAGGTCCATGCCTTTCCCAAGGATTTCCTAAGGACATCTGGGAAACAGGTGTGCTGTTGCCTAGTCAGCAAAAGCTGATTTTCCTGTTAGCTCAACTTTTTTTTTTATAGGTTTTGGCCGGGGCCAGGTTTGAACCCACCACCTCTGGTATATGGGGCCGGTGCCCCACTCCTTTGAGCCACAGGCACTGCCCTATCTTAACTTTTTTTAAAGCCAACTTTCCTTCTCAAATTATCAAACCATCCTTTGCTGGCATCAAATCCTCCAGCTTTAGATCCTTCCCCTTCCCTTCTCTCTCCTTGTCATAGAATGATTCCCCTTTGTTTTGAATCACATTAGAGCCCATAGGTCCACCTTGGCTTACAGGAACCCTTCACCCACATCAAAGCTGCACGTTCAGTACTAGATACAAAGACGTTTTTCAAATAGTGTAAGGTCTTCACACCTACTGGCAAAGCTGCAGGGACAATTTCAGTTTCCCTTTCTTTTTGTACAAGGGTCCTTACACTGGATCATTTATCTTGAACTGGGGTAAGCCGCAGCTGCAGACCTCCACCTACAGCACACATCAAACTCGGCAGCTTTTTCTTGTAGTCATGACTTTCCTCTGCTTCTTGGGAGCACTTCCAGCATCACTAGTGGCACTTCACGTGGGTCCCGTGGTATTATTCAGGGTTTATGGTATTGCATCAAATAACGGGAAAAATATCCAAGAACAAGCAAGAGGCAACTTTTCATTACAATCCAGTTTACTAGAGAGATGAACTGCTCCCAAGGAGATCTTAGGGATACATGGTGCTCTAAGTGGACACTCAGCAACATTTGAGCTTACCACGACAGCAACAGGAGGGGACTACAAAGTTACTGTAACAGTCACAATGTGCTGGACTTGATTTAACGCCACCTGATTTAAAACTACATCTTTACATGTGTTTATATTTCTTTCAACAGAGCACCATGTATCATCTGTGTTTCTGTGAATAAGTTTTGATGAATTTTTATTTTTATAATAAATATGTGTACATTTTATGGTAGTGATAAAATAGACTAGTACTGCACATACTTATGTATTTATGATATTCTTTTGTCTTAATTTTCTTTTTGTTATTTCTAGGCTATGCAGATCACCTGTGAATTTTTTCAAATTGTGTAAATCTCCATAACTTTTCCAATACATGAAAAAAATCCATGTATAAGTAGACCCACACAGTTCAAACAAGTGTGGCTCAAGAGTCGATTACACACCTAAAACCATCTTCCCAGTTGAGTCTGGTGGTAACCAGGCTCCGACACACTGTAAAGAACAAGGGCAGTGAGAGAACTCACACCGCAAGTGTGGTCAGCTCAGGGTCTGGGGTCCTCATGCTATAAAAATTCTTTGGCTTTGCCACTACAAAAGAAATCAGCATTACAAACTGTTCTTACTGAACTTGTGGCTGAGTGATTCCCTGGTTTCTATGTTTATCACACATTCTTCTACATGAGTGAGATATATGACTTAGTCATCAACTATGAAACTTTTTGCCTTCCAAAATTACTTTTATTTCTAAAAGTAGAAAGAGGTATCCAAAGGATTTACAGCTTTTTTTTTCATGAAGTAATTTTGGGATATGCAGAAGTCTAGGATTCATTTGGACAGGAGAATTATATTCTACTTCCAGACAATTCAGAAAGTAAACTGAGAAGTAAAGTGAGTATTATCATAATTTAGATAATTTAGTCAAGAAAATGTGTCAAGGACAATTACTATTCCACACATGCTACAGATTTCATAATTTGCAGGTGAGTTGACCATTGGGTATATTTTCACATTCTCCTATGTCTGTGATACAAAATTATTACTCTTCTGAAAGTCTAGCTGCAGGCAGATACATATTACATACTACAGGTCCTGCTGAGAACTTAGTCCAGTGCCTACCTACAGTAGACGGCCAGTCATTTTAGTTGAATGAATGAACAACAGACTGGCTATTACAGGGCACTGTCACATTACTGTCTGGTGGGCTCTTAAAGGGACATTGTCACATTACTGTTTGGTGAGTCAATTCCTAAACACAGTTGGGACCAGAGCATTTACACTCATATTTGAGTTAAGATATAGCAGAATAATCACTCTCACTTTGTACCTCATAATTGCTAAATCCTCCACCATATGTGATTGGTTATAGTCTTCTGAAAAAACCAGCAACATCAGCAACTAAGATATTGTTAAATTATCCATATATTTCATCCTTCCTTTAATAGCTTCCCATTTCTTGATATTACTTATGTTAATATAAGAATCAAGGACATACCTCAGCCCAGAATTCTGCATATATATCATTTGCTGTCAATTTTGTAACTGGCCACAGTTTCGTCACAGAACACAGGTCACAGGCAGTCATCATCAAACCAATAACACGGTCTCTAGAATACAACAATATAAGCCTAGTCAGCATTTGCACATTTAAAATAAGGACTAAAAATGCTTTGGTCTTTTCAGAAGGAAGGTTTGAGTACGTGTAACTTCATGAAGAAAGAAAGATCACAGTGAAGAGCAGTAACAAATAACAGGAAGCACTCGTGTCACGTATCGCTAGTCCCGTGAGGAGTGTACTGAGTGTTCTTGTAGCCTCGGTATCAACGTTCACCTCATACCTAACGAGGGCCTCGGCTCTTTCATTCTCTAAAGCCCCTGGTACACACTTATGGGCAGGGACTAGGTTTGAAAACTTAAGAGTGGGAAGAACCCGTAAGAGAAAATCTATCTCCAAGTTTTTGTAAGAAAACATCTGAGGTGCACAGAAATGAACCGACGGGGTGGCAGCTCAGGACAGGTCAGGGGCGTGGGGTGCAGGCCGCCTTCCCATTTCCCAGCGTAGGTGTGTGTGACGGGAAGGTGGCCTCCGAACACTTGGGCCTTCTCAAACCCTGCCTCTCCACTGAAATCTGTTTTCCTTTCCAGATACTTGGCATTCATAACCATGTGCTCCATGTCTGACATTCTTTTCCTAAATATGGTTTGGTTTCATCTTTCATCTCAAAGAAAAATAATAATTGCTTAAACAACTTAACAGATATATCCCCTATAATTCTAATGTGTTCAATTTAGTGATAGGTGGTTATCCTAAGTGAAGTCTATACTTAATAGAAGAACTAAGCATTTGTTATTAAGAAATTTTAATATTTACCTTTTATACAGCAAATTATATAATTTTAAAAGACAAATTACCAAAAAGATATACAACTGTGTACTGAGTGAGATGCTGTGATAATTTCCAGACTGCATCTCAACTCTACTGAGTCCAACATGGCCCTGCTGCTACCCACGGTCCCACCTGTTCTGGGCCCTCTCTCCATCTCGGGTACTGCACTGGCCTCGGACGCAGCATATGAGGGGGGTCCATCAGCAGATTCAGCAGAGATTTTAGCCATGTTCCTGAAAGCTGAGATGCCTAGGCATCTGGAAGACCCTGCTTCTTTCTAAGAACCATGTCTTTAAGGCCAATCAATAGCAACGTTCCTTCAGTTTCCATCACCCACCTCCCTTCTTAGCCCATTTATAACCTTACTTTTCACAAGAACACACACCAGCTCTCTCACAGGTTAGACTAGGAAACTTCAAAACCATGGATTACAGTTATGTACACCCTTCCTATAACCCCAAACAGATGCCATATGAACACCCAAAGTCCTTAAAGTTAGCAGAGAATTTAAGATTTTCTTAATGAGGTAGTTTCTAATCACTCTGTGGCTTAAAGGAAGAATATTTACTTTTGGATATGGACTTCTAAAGGAATGAGTATGTTATTCGTTTTCTCAATATGCAAATTTATTTAAATCAGGAATAAAATGTGAAAAAAACTAATATTCTATTTATAATAATTATTTCATGTGCTTAAAATAATTCAATCTCAATCTATAGTCATCACAATAATATTTATTTCTCTTGGTTAAATAATTGAGTAACTTTATCTCAGTGATTTATTTCATAAATCTGTAAAACAAAGGAAATGTTAACAGAACTGGGCATGATAAAACACATGGAATCAACTTTCCCTCTGGAAATGACTCCACATGGACAGTTGGTACTACAAGGATTGAAAAGCTTATAAAATAGTTATATTTAGAGTTCACTGTCAAAATTCCTTACATAAAGCAATTTAAAAGTAGTTACTCTATTACTCAAAAAATAAAACAGATTAGAAATTTAGAATTAAATGCCTTTAAGAAAATAATTACTCATTTTTCAGTCTCAATTATAAATCAGATGGCCACGGATGTCCATAAATATTAATGTTAACTGGAATCAATATTTTTTTCCTATTCATGAATGGAATGTAGAACTAATTGGTATAGATACTCTATTCTTAACATATTTTAGTAACCAATTTTGAAAGGGATCATGTTTATGACAAACATACTCTTGGTATGACCTCATGTAGCCCAGTCACTAAAAACAATGAAAAAAGTGATTTAAAAAACATGCAATTTCCAAGGGTTTAACTACACTTATTTATTCCCAGAAGTTCCAAATGCCGGCCTGTATCAGACACAGTTACAGCCATGAACAAAACCAACCCCGTCGTTGGAGAGTTAATGTTCTAGTAGAGGAAGGGAGACCATAAGCTGTTTCCAAAACTTCACGCAGGAACGAGTGTTGTGTAAAAAATACAAAGACGAGGCGAGCAGGTAAAGATCTGCGAGCGTTTTGGCAGAAAGGAGGCCTGTGGGAAGCAGCACAGCACCTTCAAGGAACACAAGGAGAGCGTTCTGGCTTAGACCTAGAGGATGATGCGGAACGTGGGACACGGTCAAGTCTACAGAGATGTGCTGAAGATAAGACAGGAGTTTAACGTTTCTTCCAAGTGTGATAGTGACATCAGAGGCTTTTCCCGAGGAGCCACACAACACACCTTTCACAGAGGATCTCCTAGGTCTGCTGGGTGGAGGGTGAGTTGCAGAAATGTAGGGGACAAAGGTGGCTTCCAAGAGATGACGAGAATACTCAGGAGTTTGCATGAGCGATGACGGCAGCCTGAATTAGGGGGTCAGCAGTGGAGACCAGGGAAGCAGGAATATTTAAGACATTAGAGACGGAGCCGAAGGAAACCATTAACTCTCACCGGATCCCCTCCCTCCTTCTCCTTTCCCCCAGTGCCCATGTGTTATCCCAGACCAGGTGGAATAAATGAAGAACGCAGGCTCCAACCCAGGTGTGCAGACACTCTGCCCTGGGACAGGCGAGCGCCTCCCACAGTGCTGCTCCTGCAGCGCCCATCAGATTGCTCAGTGTCATCGTATTTCCAAATCCTCCTTGCACATCAGAAGATCATGGAATCAAGAACTTTACAAAAGGAGGGGAAAAGAAGCCACTTAGCCTGCGCCCCTCAGATGAGTTACAGATGGGCAAGAAGGAAGCCCCACCACACTACCCTAACCCACGCGGCACACTCTATAAAGTTAGTCTAACAGGATGTCTTCCTGCAAAAGAAGAAGAAACACCCAGGAAGAACAGAGGAAACGCACACATTACTGTACAGAAGGTTTCAGGTAGAGATACGAAGGTGAACATAGAATATTCTCATACAATAATTTTAATAATTGCTCATTTGTGTAAATATCTGGAATTCGGAAAGTCTGACTGGCTAGCACCATTTCAATAAGGTGCTGAAAATGTTAAGATTCATCTCTTTTAAATTTGTACGCTCATTGTTCCCTAGGCCCTGTGGTTACCTCAGAGACCTCTAAGCTGTGTTCTAGCTCCCAAATTTCTACTAACACTTTACACCAGGAAAATATTAATGTAAGAAAAGTAGCCAGCGTTAAAGCATTGAGTTTACCTACTTGAATATGGGGTCTAACAGGCAGAGTGCCACCATGACACAGATGACCTACTTGTAGCAGCCCGTATAGCTGGGAGGAGTGAGAGTTAGAAGTAACACCTGTATAGCTCGATCCTGGAACCCCTTGGTGAAAAGGGCATGTACAGGGATATCGCTCTCTTAACAAACCTGAGTGCTGGAGAGACAGAGCATCAGTGACTGGCAGTCTCTACACCTGTAGTGTTAAGATCCGCTCCATAGAGGCTGGAGGAGAAGGCAGTCAGGAGTGAGCTCATTCTATCATGGACCCACCTACTCTGACTTTATCACTTCTTCTGCTTACAGAACGTCAGCACGCATAGTGTCTCTCTGCTAAAGATTACTAAGCTCTGCTAAAGACTGCTAAGATCTATTCTTTTAAGACTGCTTCTCCCTCAAAGACTGTTTATCTCTCTCTCCCTTCTGCTAAAGCCAATAGCCCTCAGGCACCTAAGAGCAATTGTTCCTGAGCTAGATAGCAAAGCCTCACCTTCTGGAACCTAGATAAGCCTGGCGGAGACCTGGCCAGTCCCAGCCCCTGATAAGTGGCGATCCGGATGGAACCTCATAAGTGGTGGCCACAAAGGAACCCCGACACTCACTCAAGAGGATCTGAGGATTATGGGAAGGAACTATTCACAAGGCTCAGAATGGCAGGACATCGAGGCTGCCAGGAAGGCCCATGGGGCCGGGAGTGGGGTTAGCCACCACACTCACGAGCTCCTCCCAGGAAGCAAGGCGGGGGAACAGATGAACAGACACACACTATGCCCTCCTCCCACTCCAGCAGCCTGTTAACAGCAGCAGCGGTGAATCCAGCAGCTGGCGGAGGGCCTCTGAGGCCGGTGTTCACCTGCTGTCAGCACCAAGAAAGACACTTGAGACCTCAGCCATTCACTATCAACCTCACCTACTCATTCATGTACCAATACAGCATAGAAACAGAACTATCTTAAAGCCCAAACTCTCTGAAACTCTCTGAAAGTCTCTGAGTTCTTGGGAACTCAGGTTAAAGTGTCTGGACAGAACAACACAAAACTATCACAAAAAATAGGGAATAAAAAGGGAAAAAGTACGTGCTTGCTTTCTTTATGAACACAGAGTTAACCAAAGACCAGATTTCTGTTTATTCCACTTAGATATTTTGTTAATTATCAATATTTAACTGATACATTCTGTAATTTTATACTGACTCCTTGAAATTCCTTTTGAATTATATTATATTTGAAAGTATACTGAATATATAGCAAAGACCAGATTTCTATCATGAGGAAGTCTTGATTATAACCATTACAGAGGCTGAGTGAAGTAGTGTCAAGAGGTTAAGTAAAAGGCAAAGCTCTGGGGGATGTACGGTGGATATTTTGTTTAAACACTGTTCATCTAGCCTTGTTTTAATTCCTTTATTTCATTTTAAAATGATGGCACGCATATCACAGTATTTGAAAATAGACTTGGTTAAATCCCTTCCCTTAAATTATCACTTTAATAATGTTTTATCTTGGTTTTAAACTTATCTTCAAGGAAATTTAAATCACTGAGTTGAGTAACTTAAATTACGTC